GGCTCCTAAATCTCTGGTTTCATTGGTCATGGCTCCTAGACCACTGGTCTGAATGGGCATGGCTCCTAGATCACTGGTTTGATTGGCAATAGCTCCCAAAACACTGGTTTTATTAGCCATGGCTCCTAGACCTCTGGTTTGATTGGCCATGAATCCTAAACCACTGGTTTGAATGGCCATGGCTCTTTAACTACTAGTTTTATTGGCCATGGCATCTAGTCCACTGGTTTGATTGGCCATGGCTCCTAAACCACTGTTTGATTGGCCATGGCTCCTAAACCACTGGTTTTAATGGGCATGGCTCCTAGACTACTAGTTTGATTGGCCATGGCTCCTAGACCACTGATTTGATTGACCATGGCCCCTAGACCAATATCTTGAGATTTACTTACATCATTAGACTGAAACAGCTTGGTCATTGCAAAGAATGTCTCAGTAGCTTCGGTTGTTCCAAGATGTTCCCCCTAAAATATAAAAGAGGGACAATTAGAGAACATTGCATGAGTAGACATTCAAAAATGTGTCAGCACATACATATATACGGCAACATTATCAACACAAACAAAGCAAAGAATTACCTCATGCTCCTGGGCAAATCCAGTAATAAATAAAAACAAAAACAGAAAGAGAAAGAAATTGAAGAAATTAACAAAATTGGTAACATGCATGATATAAACTTCTGGAGGTTGTGACATGAGAGATTGAATATACTGTGCGAATGGAACAAGACCACTTCATTCTACAAACTTATTACACAAAAAATGAGTACAAGAAAGCACTATATGGTACCCAGGTTAAGTTAAATATTTATCATTATCAGTATCATTCTCAATGATCAGGCAAATGATTGGCTCAGGTCTTTATGATATGCATGTGATGATCAGACATCAGTTTTTTCCAATACATGATGCAAGTTAATTAATGTCCAGAGTATTATACTGTATTCTCTCTATTAGTAATAGATATGTAATTAACAGAGGTGTGTGTATGGCCAAACTAAGTCATATTTTAATGTCTAATACACAAATACATGTATTATTTTGTTTGAGTGCTGAGTTTCTAATGTAGCAGTGAGCTGTTGTGCTATCGATCACACAAGCATTGTTTATGAAAAATGTTTTTAATAAGTGATATCCAACTGAACATTAGCATATCATCAATGGAGGTGAATCAAATAGTGGTGATATTCATAACCAACTACATGCAGCACCCAACTATGAAGTAATAAATAACCGCCTATTAAAGTAGTTTTATTTATTATAAGCATGCAAGACATGCATCTCAGTAAAATTGTCAACTATTTAAGATAGAAATAATGAACTTTAAAATGCGCAGTATATCATTCAAGACAAGTGTTACATGGTATATAAAACGTGTAATATACATTTTGTCACAACATTTCAAAGAGGTGACAGGTTTATATAGCACTTCTGTGTCCAAAGTATGATACCAATAATCTGCAATGTGTCAATGTTGATGATGTAATTCAAAGCAGAACATATGTAGATATGGCTTTTTACAAACTGGTAATTTCTATTGTTTTTGGTGCTATAATAACCCATTTTTCAGTATGTACATGTATGTATGTATGTATGCAGGTGTCATAAAGTCTCCTTGTCTAGATCACAACATGAGATGACAATGCTATACATCTAATACAAGGCAGTCTGAAATTATACATAATAAGTACAGTAGGCAGTGTCTATACATGCCTGAGATGTAAAGTATTAATAGGTATATATTTTGGGAGTCAACTTATAACCTCTTGCACTCCTTGTCCTTTCAGAAATATTTTCCATTGTACTCCATCTCTTACCCTTACTCAACCCTCCTCCAATTCCACTGTGTATACACCTCAAGATAACTATAGGTGTTTTCAAAAAGGGCATATACAATTAATTTGGAGGGTGGAGGGAGGGGGTAGGGCGAAAGTCAGAGTTAGGATTGGGAGAGGGGGTACAATGGAAAGTCTTTCCATCATCTCTAATGTAGGCATGCTAGTACTCATAGTAACACAACAAGGCAGTATAACCAATTATAACATTAATTTTACTGACCGCATTGATAATATACAATATCTTGGTTAAGGTATGACAGCATCTCCTTGGATTGATGGGAGTTTCATTGAATGTCCTTGCCTACAAAGTAAAAAAAATAAATGTGTTAGTTCCTTCAGTATTCCTTTAGCTCAAAAAGAACAATTCTATATTTATATAATAACCATTATCATATATCTATTTTAAAATAAAATAAAATTCAAATTAACTACCACTAATAATCAAATTAGCCACCATTAATGTAAATTAGTTACCATTGATATGTAAATTATCTACCTAGTCTTGATACAATGTTATTTATTATTATACATCTACAGTATCTCTATGAAAGTTACAGTGAGCAATAATTTAGCAGTGTTTGATGGGGTACATGTATCTGCATCCAAATTTAAAAGAAATGTTAATTCCAAATATGGAACAATCATGTAGGGTTTCCAAAATGGTGCCATTTTTGAAAACAAATTTCATTGTGAGAAAGTCAAGAAAATCAAGAAGATGTATATTAATAAGTTTTTTTACGAGAATACCAAAAAAAACATGTACTCAGACAGTATGCCGCCACATCATGTCAGTTGATATTTTTTCTAAACAGTCGTAGCATACTTTAGATATCCTTGTGATAACTTCATATAAATCAAACAATTAAACAATTAATGTTTAAACTTAATTTTTGTAGTCTATTACCATACCCACAAGGCAATGCATAAACAAGCTGTCAGGGAGGAAGAAATCTATTAGCAATGTGTATACAACGAAATTAGAATGTGTATTTTGTAAAACATTGGTACACATGAAAATCAACAAAGCAATTGGAGGGAGGGGGGGGGTCTCTCACCTGCATCTTCTTTATAGAACACAATTTCTAGGTTCATAATTTCTATGCAAATAAAAAATCAATCTACAAACAGCAAAAAGATTGAATTGAAACCCACATCCAACAAAAACTAGTGGAGAAGTACATACCTATATGTATGACACTCCCCATCTCTACATCCATAGGTCTGTGATGGATCAGCCAAATAAATGAGCAGATAAATGCATACACACAGTCTATTATTTGAGTTATGTGTACATGCATAAACTTACCTCCTGTAGTACAGCACTTTTCTCTAAATTAGCATATGGATTAGAAGATCCTGAAATAAATAATACAAATATTTGTATTCACCTGATGGGAACATTGAAAATTGAGATTTTCTTCTGAACTCAACTGTGGTGGTAACAACCAAGAACTTTCATTTCACTAACATTGTACATTTTGTGTTTGCAGGTACATTCTGATGGTGAATACTTGCAAACACACCAAAGTATTTATTAATCACTAGGATATACTTGATAAAGTTGTATATAATCATTCATCTGTCTTATCAATATCATTTCTGCAATGATTTTCAGTAAAGACTATTGGATATCACATGACAAATATGAAGAAATATAATTGGTTAGTCGTCTATAGTCGTGAATAGGCATTGCACACTGCATAATAATTACGGTTGACGACTATTTACTAAGATTCAAGAATTACAGTGAATAGTCAACAACAACAAACTTTCAGTCATAAACATGATCACACCTTAAGATTAATTCGACTATATGATTTAGTTGCAGGTCATTCATAGTCGCAAGGTGTGCAGTCGGCATAAGTTTGCTAAGTAGGAATATTGACATATCTTGAAATTTTAGATGGCGATTATAACTAGAAATCTAAAATTTAAAGTTTATGGCTGAAATATCATCTAAATAGTTAATGTATACCAACCAGAAAGTTGGGGGGTTAGGTTACATAATAAATGACTGTTGTATGTATATTAGTAGTAGCAGTAGTATTACGTGATTATGTGAGCAGTGAATTCGAATATTGTTATTATAAATCAGTGAATATCCGGATCAATTTTATGACAAGTGCTCGTGTTGATAATTCTGTTCCAGGCTAAAATATCAAGCAATTAACAGTCTACTACCATGAGCTTTTTTAACTACACGAGTCTTCATAATTACTCGAATAGCATATCACTGGCCGTTGATGGTAGCCGTACTACGTGTATACTGATCTGTAATCCATCAACAAACTGTCCATCGGTTCGTGAATGTCTTAAGCTACGAAAAAACTCCCAAAACTGTGACATCCATCGTGTACATTGAACGATGAATGAATGATGCTGATATCGATTTAATTTCTGCTACACCCACAAATACATACAATTTGAAAAATAACTTACCATCTTCCTCGTCCTTCTTGTCTCTTTTTAACATGTGCATGATTAATTATTATATCGGAATATAACAGCAAAAAGATACTAGTATTAGAGACCATACAAATAAGGTAATCCACACAAGATTGTACACCTCAGAACCGGCCACGTCACTTACAACGTGTACTGCGCATACTAATGCGCATACGGAAGTATATTGACAACAATGCATTGTGGGAGAATAAAAACAAGTGGTACTTAGTAGGGGGCAGTAGACAAATACTCGATTAAATTTTCGTTGTCGAGTAAAATTACATCCTCTCAGTACGCCGATGTGTAAACCAACTATTCACGTGACACGCAATTGGTAGTGATTTGGTTGTGCTATTATTTCTATCGGGTAGATCGATTTAATACCGTACTCCTCAGGCTGAAAATTTATTGCAGATAGACTCAGATGATTTGTACTTTACCGAATTTATATTTACGACTACTAATACATCAAAGAGATTCCAGTAATTTACATCTTTGTAAATTTAAAATAATCATCAAAATGCGACTCTTTTATGAAATATAATTATATCATTAAAGCGTTGACAAAATATGCCCATTTGGGATTATCCCCGTAATGTATTCAAGGTAACATGTTAGACTTCATGTAAAAAGCATGGATCACCATATAATACTTGTTTCTTTCTCTATTAAGGTTGTTCAATATAATTCCATGACAGTTGTTGTTATTATTTTATATTTTGCGAACTGATTGCTTATTTCTATACGTGGTCATACACAATATTAAAGGAATATTACCTTTGCGAATTACGGAGCTACAACGAAATACTCCGTCTGTGGGATAAATTTCGATCCGTTTTTTTAACTCGAGATAACAATATGTCGAACACTATATATTTAAAAAATAACAAGCGATTAGTAGTTTGCCAAATCTGAAAGTTATGGCCTTCGAAAGTTGGTGTATATAGACTAAGTTATCTATAGTTTTCACTACAATAAAACAAAACAAAATGTATTTTCTAGTGTCTTTGAATAAATCCAGTCAAGCAACGTGGTAACTTAGGTAAAATAGTTGATCTAGTAATAGGTCGTAGTAATAGTTCGAATGGGTGTGTATAATGGCTGAACATATCGTAAACTAATCTTCGATCGCCGAACACGGAATCCTACGTGCGATCACGTGCGATTCGGTGTCTCCATGACACCCTAGTACAACTCCTGCCAACTCAAACACAACCGAATGCACAGAACAAAACAAGAATTTCCTGATGTGGATATTTTGCAATTTGCAGACCGATTCTGATGATTTATCAAAGTACACACATTACTTGAAATGTGTCAAAGTCTTCAAATGCCGACAGAAAAACTTCCACATGATGTGATTCTAGGCAGCATATCTGTAAATAAACATAGAAGACGCGACGAGCGATGCTCAGTGAGGGCAAACATTGCCCTGTTTATCGCAGTTCAGTTATTGTATAATGAGCCAACTTCTGTGTTCTGAATAAACAAGTATTTGTTTAAATTTCAAGCACATTATATGACATGATGGCAAGTGTACAAAGAAGTAGTTGATCCAAAATAGGCATGTGGTGTGATTTGAACGAGTGTAATACTGCAGACACAAATATGGGGACATTAGTAACTTCCCATGTACGGTTTGATTCACGTACGATTCATTTTCTCATTGAAATAGCTATAACTATTACACACAGAGGAAAAGGAAAAACAAATTACAGCGAATTTATCATTAACAAATTAGCGGTGAAGAAAATAAACATGCGATGTTTTCATTCTTAGTAAGTGACAATTTCACGGTCGCCCACACTATTGATATTACATCATGGTTTTATTCATTGTACAATCAATTTCAGAATTTTAATATGAAAGCCAGGTTCGTTATCACTAGTTGCCGATGAAATACGAACCAGTGCTTTTGTGGGACATTGAGAATGAATTTGAAACAAATGGTTCTGACGCGAAATTGTAGTAACCAGAGTCGGAATCAGAGATTGACAGTGTAATTATTTTTTTACTTATTAGCAAACGGAATTATCATGAAACACGGTGGTCGGCTTCCTATAACTAAAACTATGTACATGTATTATTAATCCAAGCGGTCTGAACTAGACTACTCTCTTCGTACTCACTGGCAGATTACTGTAGTAGTCTTAGCTTCGTACTTTAGTAATATATGTTTTCATAGTCAGAATTAGATTGTACGAATCTTTTAAGCGATTTTTTAGCTTTGTATTTATAATTTCATGAATGTTCACGGAAAGTTCTAAGGTTTGTACAGAACGTCGGGATATTTTGATCGGTTATTTTTGTCACGCATTATCAGAGGGTCGATAAGGGGTATTTTCGTTAGCTGTAATCATTTGTTTTTATTTTCGTAATAATGTAATTTAAATAAATAAAAAAACCTTAATTTCGTAGATATGGCCAATGTGTAAAATGTAATCAGCTATTTTATTCGTCCGTAATTTGTACAAAGATTTTTTTGTAAGCGTATAAAGCATTCTCCACATTAAATGTCGTAATTTGTACGCAATTTCCAATTTTGATTCTTAAACACAAATTATCAAATATGTTATAAAAATGTAAATATGAATTTTCTTTATCTGTAAAGTGTAAAAACCTATTTTTGTTTACTATAAATGGAACTTTCATCTTATTTCCTGTAAAAAAGCGAAGTGCTTTTTTTATTTCTTGTAAGCTTGTCCCTTATGATTATTCTCTGTCATAGTCAGGTGACACGTGAAACAGCGCTTGTGAGTTATATACTGAACCACAGTCCATTCACTGTGACTGTGACCGTGGAAGGTACTAACTGTTAGTACCTTCTATGCTGTGACTGAACCGAGCATATACATTTCCGTAATGGTTATATAACTGACAAGCGCTTTTTCACTCGTGACTGCGGGTCATTGTGACCCTGTCATAAATTTGGTATACTTTCCATGTTAATATAATCAAGTATTTATTGTTAATGTACCTCTGATATAACTTATATTATTGTTGGGATTGATATACTTAACCTTTTTATTATTAATATTAATAATAACTTTGGTGAATGAACAAACATTGCATGTGAGCTACATAATGAAATTGCCGATGAGCGCCGCCTGAAGTTGCACAATGAAAATCTTTTTGAACCTGGGGTTAAAGACCATGTTATGGCGATTTGCATTGTGGGTATTTTAAAATGGCTTCATCCGGTGCAAACGATTCGTACGACTTTTGTGAATTTTGCCGAATAAATCACGACCATGGAAGAAAACACGTGTACAGTAAACGTCATAAAGACAGGATACAGTCGGCTTTACGAAGATTTTGTAAAAAAGTGAGATATATTTACTCATATTTTATCGCACACATATGAAACATGCCAGCTGACTGTGATATTAACGGCGCCGCTGTCGACCGTAAAACGTCACATGCACTTACAGTCACTAGAATTGCCCGGGATGTTGTACGATCAGAAAAAGTGATTACCTACTTTGTTTCAAATTACTGTTGATTACCACCAAACTGTTCGCAATTAGTCAACAATTAATATTATAGGAGATGAGCTACATGACTGTTTCTTTTCACGTGAAGAGAGAAGCTTACTTGACATGTAGACGAAGTAGTGTCGGTGCATCATTTACTTACTTCAGTACTGGATGTGAATCCATTTAATGTGTTTTTATAGATCAAAGAAGCCAAGTCAGAGATTAAAAAGCCTACAGTATCCAATAATACTAGTTTACTTGAAGTCAATTTTTGGTGTTATATGTGTGCACAGGAAATACAGAAACATGGTAAAGATTTCAGCAACAAAGATATTATTTTGAACTTCAAAGGATTTATCGTACATTTATTAAGGTGAGAAAATATTATTTAACTATAGTAACTGCATTTGAGTTGGAAATAATTTCACTCGCAAATTATCATATCCACAAGAAAGATTACATGATTGATGTATAACAAAATGATGAAAACTAATAAACAGACTGGCAACGCTTTTTTGTAAAGGTGTCAATCGGCCTAATCCCCAGCGAACATGCGTTTTGGCTACACTGCTGTCCCACGCTTTGCCAAATTGTGCCAAATGGCGAGTACACACATCGTAAATCTACGTTTACTTGCATTTTAGTCATTCTCTGTATTCATTTCAGATCAGACCACCCGGAAGCAAGAGTTTTACTTTGAGTTGCGAAATAATATATTTTTTAGCCAAAAGTGACCATATTTTAAGAATGATTATTTGAAAGTATAGACTATCTTCATAGTTTTTTTCTTGAATGTATAATTAAGAAAAAGGAACGACTTTTACCGGAACACAGCAATTTTTTCCGATAGTGACTCTATTTTTCCAGAATAGTTCTCGTTGCCATGTTTACAACAAAGCTGATCTTATGTTATTAAATTTTGCCGATCATGTATTAAAAAGCCTTTGAAAGTATGATACATCAGGGCAAGTAGTGTACTAGTTAACTAAATCGCGGCAAAATTAATATAAGTCTTGAAATAGTACTAATGCGATATTTTGATTTTGTACATGTGTGTAGCAACATTACGCTGATTACTTACTTCCACATGGTTTATTTCCACTGCTATTTAGTTTGACCTGCAACTGAATTTTATACTTTCTGTTTTATTGTTACCCGAACCTGTTTTATGAATGTCTGTGGGCTGGCGGGGATCTCTAACGTAAGGAAAATATGAAACTTCAGTCTGACTTTTCGTGTCACTTCTTGTTGAAACACTGCATTATCTTTCGGGATCATGCGTTTTCGCGTGACTTCGTGGACATTTTCTTATCTCTCCCAGTTGTTTATAAGCTTAAAACGTTATCGCAAAAGTAAACATGAGACATACGTTAGAAATACCCATGTTGCCAGTCTATTTATTATTTGTCTGAGAATAAAGTGATGACTTACCAGGTACTAGTAGTTTATCTATGTAGAAAGGTCTGTAAGCTGGTGTTTATTACGCACGAGTTCAATGTATCAGCATCCAAAGCCAGGTGATGGTAGCAAAATTACCATACAAGAGATAAAATATTGTTCATAAAACTACAGCAGAATATAGCCTCTATATCTGTACAGTGTACATACCTTGGAAGTAGGGTGAGCGTTACATACATATACATTACACTAATTAGAGGAACAAATTTCAAGCCTACAAATATCAACCTTCTGAGCATGCATGCATAGACTAAATTAATCCAAAATGTGATAAAATATTGATGATTCTCCAATGAATATTTGGACTGATTAATTTCTTGCAAAGTGTCTTTTAGATTTATCAGTAACTCAAGTTTTGGATTAATTTACAAATACAAGCTCATTTGGAGGTTCGTGAAAAACGTGCATATTGTTAAAATAATAAATAATAATTTCCAATAATTACATCTTGTTTATTTTCAGCGCTGACCATTTGAAAAATGTGAAGCAGTTTCTATGGGAACACAAGCTGGATAAAAATGAGAAGGATAAATACATATTTACAGAAGATCACTGGATTAAATACCAACAATCAATTAAATCAGTTGTAACAGAATTTAAAAATAATAAAAAGAAAATATTTCAAGAGGTAAGTGTTTCATTGACTTTGTATGTTAAATGAATACTATTGTATTTGAAATGGGAATATTTTAATTCTGTTTGTTTCAGAACCGCACAGAACCAAAAAAATGTTTTGTTTCACTAATTCAACCTAAATTCAAATCATCTACAATTTGATTTGACTGAATGAGTACTATTGTGTCTTATGATGATATGAAATGCAAACATAGCAGGATGTTGTTCACAGGTATACTTTGAAGGTGATGCTGGCTTTAGAAGCAAAGTGTCCCTGTGAATGTAATTTACCAACTAAATTAATTTTTTTTTCTTATTTTTTTTTCAGAAAGTTATGAAAATGGTGAATGTAGAAGAGAAAAGACAACAGTTACTACAACCAGAGAAAACTGATTTCCATGGCAACAGTGATATGGTACCTAAGTCGTATCCATATATATATATTTTTTTCAAATATTAACCTTATGAGCTTAAGTCAACTACATGATAACAATATATTATTTAATATATATTGCTATCCACTATCCTTCTTCATGATTATAATTACTTGAAAATGGGAATTATCACTGGGTGTATTAGTATAGTGGAATTGATGTCGCTTGGATATTCACTCCATTTAAATTCACTGTTTTGTAAATGAAATAAAACATTCTGTGATTAGCTATGTATATTTAAATGATTCTATTACAGCTGTCAGTAAAATAACTAAATCATTTATCAAATTCATTACATGCCAGTCTCAAAGTGTGATAGGACATTCATATCTCCACTGTCTGTGATATAAAATACATAACATTTGATATAGGATTGGCTTTTTTTCTTTGGAAAATGAGTGTACTACCAATTTCTAAAGCTAATAGCTGGACAATAATGTTGTCAGTGGTTTGGAACTTCAAGCTATGCACACAATTGTGAATACATGAAAAGAATCAGCACATTTTGTGTAGGACAACTCGTACATCATTATTTTGGTATATAAGTGGCGAGACAATTTTAATTATTTGAAACTTACAAGTACTAGTAGTACAGTTGGGCTGTTAATTTCAGAAAATGGTAGCCCTGGAATATAATTTGGTTGTCTGTGCTACCGATAATTTGAAGCCCTGAGAGATTCATATCTATATTATATATGACATCACCTGTCTAACATACGACATTCATATTGGTGTCAAATATGTGACAGGGACTATGTCATTTACTGCAAAATATGTGACATGGACTATTTCATTTACTGTCAAATATGTGACAAGGACTATGTCATTTACTGTCAATTATGTGACAGGGACTATGTCATTTACTGTCAAATATGTGACGTACTATGTCATTTACTGTCAAATATGTGACATGGACTATTTCATTTACTGTCAAATATGTGACGGGGACTATGTCATTTACTGTCAAATATGTGACGTACTATGTCATTTACTGTCAAATGTGTGACAGGGACTATTTCATTCACTGTCAAATATGTGACGGGGACTATGTCATTTACTGTCAAATATGTGACATACTATGTCATTTACTGTCAAATATGTGACAGGGACTATTTTTATTGTCAAATATGTGTGTCTTTCACTATGCTTTGTTTAAGTATTATTTTTCCTGAATCAATCAGATTGCTTTCACATCAGTGTGTAATAGCAGAAGTCAGATTACAGCATCATATCCACTATATCAGCACAGTAGTAGGTGAGTACCTTTCACTATGTTAGTTATACACTGATAATCATAACATATTGCACATGAATGTAGTGTTTTTGAGACCCTCATTTAGATGTATGTAGCTCCAAAAAAATCAACTTCAAGCTATCCATCCATAAACAACTCTTGATCATTTCAGAGCTGTTTTGGATTCAAAGACAAGATGTAACGACTCGTACATGTGCCATTATTGTTTCTCAATCAGAAAAGAAATAATGTAACTTCATCCTTCTTATCTGTTTTTTTTTTATTTGCTATGACTGGGTTAATTTTATTCAAACTGGTGTAATTCAGTATGGGTGATTGATACACTTTACTATATTTTTGTTTAGACCACTGTCTCCTCACACTCGGTTAAGGAACGCTACGAGTTCTTAAAATTAGCTAACGTATTCGCGTTCTTAAAATTAGCTTACTGGTACCGATAATTCACACTGTCTACATTAACATAAAATTAGCATATGGTATGACATCATTTTCACCCAGAATACCTCAAAATTCATTTTTGTGCAGGCGTAAACAACTTTATTTTCAAGTTTCACCACTGTGAAGTTTCAACTTTCTGACTTCTGGGCTTTTTATTCTAAAGAAATATGGGGAAAATGCAAAGATTTCATCGATTTCAGATAACATAATGGAAAAAGGACCCCAGTATGTAGATGCAGGATATATGCATGAAGAGGATGTGCAAAAACACAGACAACACCGTCACCACCATCGTCGTAGTGTATGGCTTCAAGTTGGCACCTGACCACGAACAAGACTGAATTTTTAACTAAAAAAAAACGAATGAAAAAATAAGAGAACAGCAATGCAAATAATATTTGTCATTTTTGGGATATTTAACTCCCAAATAGTACTCGCCATACGATAGTTTAAGCGAAAATGTGCATATACCAAGGTCGATACAATAGGATACTCTTAGCATAACGGCGACAATAGTAGGTATCGCCATCTTGAAAACAAAAATTCTGCAATATTTCATAATATATATTAATATTTAATCAAATTTAAGTCAGGTTTGTGAAGCTTAGGTT